CATCATCATCATCCTCATCATCATTATCTTCCTCGTTATCGACATAACAATCATCATCATTATCAAAGTCATCATTTTCAAAAATAACAACATCCAGCACATCATCAATTTAGATATTCAAATCATTATTAATGATATCATCGTAATCAACATAATCATCATCATCACCATCAGCATAATTATCGATATCACCATCATCATCATCATCAGCATCATCATCATCATCAACCTCATCATCATCGTCATCATGAACATCATCATCATCATCAGCATCGTCATCATCATCATCATCATCATCATCCTCATCATCATTATCTTCCTCGTTATCGACATAACAATCATCATCATTATCAAAGTCATCATTTTCAAAAATAACAACATCCAACACATCATCAACTTCGATATTCAAATCATTATTAATATCATCGTAATCAACATAATCATCATCATCACCATCAGCATAATTATCGATATCACCATCGTCATCATCATCAACATCATCATCATCATCAACATCATCATCAACGTCACCATCATCATCATCATCGTGATCATCGTCATCATAATCATCATCATCTTCATCCTCAACTTCATCATCCTAATCATCATTTAAAACATCATCATCATCGTCATCACCATCATCAATATCTTCATCATGCAAATCATCATCATTAACAACGTCGTCATCGTCCTCAACATCATCATCATCATCTTCATTATCGTCAGCATCAACTTCACCAAATTATGGTCATCATCATGATCATCATCATCATCATCATCCTCATCATCATTATCTTCCTCGTTATCGACATAACAATCATCATCATTAGCAAAGTCATCATTTTCAAAATTAACAACATCCAACATATCATCAACTTCGATATTCAAATCAATAATAATATCATCGTAATCAACATAATCATCATCATCAACATCAGCATAATTATCGATATCACCATCATCATCATCATCTGCATCATCATCATCATCATAATCATCATCATCATCATCATCATCATCATCATCATCATCATCATCATCATCATCATCATCAACATCATTACACACATCCAAAATGACCAAAATCATCATCATTATCATTATCATTATCATCATCATCATCATCATCATCATCATCATCATCATCATCATCATCATCATCATCATCATCATCATCATCATCATCATCATCATCATCATCATCATCATCATCATCATCATCATCATCATCATCATCATCATCATCATCATCATCATCATCATCATCATCATCATCATCATCATCATCATCATCATCATCATCATCATCATCATCATCATCATCATCATCATCAATATCTATATCATCATCATCATCATCATCATCATCATCATCATCATCATCATCATCATCATCATCATCATCATCATCATCATCATCATCATCATCATCATCATCATCATCATCATCATCATCATCATCATCATCAGCATCAACATCATCATCAATATCTTCATCATCATCAACGTCATCTTCGTCATCATCATTATCATCATAATTATTATCATCCAAATCATCATCAACCTAGACTTTCGAATTATCATCGTCATAATCATCATCACCGACATCATAATCATCATAATTATCACCATCGTCATCTTCAATAACATCATCAACGTCCTTTTCCTCATCGTCATCATCATCATCAACATCGTCATCATCATCATCATCAGCATCAACTATATCATATTCATCATCATCATCGTCATCATCATCATCATCATCATCAACGTCCAAATCATCATCGTCATCATCATCATCATCGTCATCATCATCATCATCAGCATCAACTACATCATCTTCAAAATCAACTTACCAGCATCATCATCAACATAATCATCATCATCATCGTCTTCTTTTACATCATCCAATTCATCATATTCATCATCGTCAGCTTCAACATCCAAATCAAAATCATCATAATCAAGAACATTTAAAACATCATCATCAAATTCATCAGCATCATCATCAAATACGTCATCGAAATTACAATCATGATCATCATCATTGTAAGCGAAATCCTTTCGACCGTCAACTTTGACCGTTTGTGAGTGATGCAGCAACGCTTTGTGCGGTGCGTTCCCATCAGCAGGAGGTCGTGCTTGTAAGTTCGACCAAGTGACAGAATAGGATTGATGAACCATTTGTACATCGGCCCTCTCATCTACAAATTCCGTCAAATCCGAGAAGGTTGGCTCTCGGCCTAGTCGTATGATAGATGCGGCAACCTCAGACCACTTAAACTGGAGGGCTTGAGGTAGTCTGCGTACTATTTCCGAAAGCGTTCTAGAGGCGTTGAGGTCGGCAACACGATTTAACTGACTCAGTGTTTTGGCAGTTCCGCATTTCCCCGGCCAACTTCATCAGCACCATTGGGTCCATGGTTTTAATGATGGGCCCGTCCACGAGGCTATCTAGGTGTGCCCTGGCTATCACGTGGGCTTGGCCAAACCTCCTACG